AAATAAACATTGACACCTATCTCTCAGGGTTGTTGGGAGAAATACATAGTTGTGAAGTGCTTAACATAATGCTGGCTTGTGTAAAGGATAAGCACTGTAGTGTTCAGACCTTGCAGGAATACAAGTAAAAAAAATGGTATCTCATTTATAGGTACTTTTTCTAACTGGCATGGAATGTTAACAAAACTGGGAAATTATAGACTAAACATTTTAAAGCATTACTAAAACCAAGCTTAAGCAAATTTCAAGACAAAAAATCCTGGTGGTAGGCAGTATATAAACTACTATGATAGCACAAAAATTCCAGATAAATGACTTTCTGTGAATTGATCAGTTTGAAAGGCATTTAACTAAATTACTATTACCTGATTGATATTTTAAGTAGTTTCTCAGTGAGAAATCTAACTCTCTAAAGTCCACAAAGTTATCCTGTATTCAACGGAGTTAGGGAGAAGGAGATAGAGGCTCTCTCCCCTTGCCCCCAAAGAGAGTCCTTCTCTGGGATTTGGCTAGACCACTCTCTCAGCTAGTCTGCCAGCTGCTTGAATTTGTTTTGCTTTTTTATACTGACTTTTGCTATTTTACACAAAATTACATACAAAATCAATACAAAATAATTTTGAGGAGAACACTAGCAACTTAGGGATAATAGGAAAGGCCTCACATGGGAGATGGCCCCTGAGATGAACTTAAAGGGATATAGGGACACTAAGAGTCGGAAGTAAGGATAGAGTGCACTTCTGTGTCTGTGCAAAGGTGCTAAGATAGAAGATAGGTTGTTGTGCTTGAGGAACACCAAATAGATCAATTTGTCTGGAACAAGAAACTGCATAAACTGGAGTAATGTATTTTAAGTTTAGAAAGGTAGGCAGTCTGAAGCCTGATAGCAGAGGGATTTAAATTTTATGATGTACAATTTCTATTTTAAAGGCAATAGTGAGCCACTGAAGCTCCTTGAGCAAAGGAGTGAATTGGTAAGCCCTATGCTTGACAAAGATTACTTTGGCAGCTGGTTGGAGACACAACGGGAGAGAGGAGAAACTGGAGGGAGCAAGACTAATGAAACTGGTGTATTTTCTTTATGATGTTATTTTTGCATGGGTTAAAAATTCGCCCCATAAAAAGTGATATTTCATCTTACTCTATAATTATGAATAATACATGCATCAAAGGCATTATTTAGTTCTTGTTAAATTTTAAAAATTCTACTGTGAAACCATGTGGACCAGTTTGTGTGTGTGTGTGTGTGTGTGTGTGTGTGTGTGTGTGTGTGTGTGTGTAACAATGCTTTGGTGACTTGTCTTATCTATTTAAATTATCCATTTTTTATTTTTTCAATTTTGGCAGCTTATATTTTTATATATAATCTTTTATTTCCTTTAAATTCTCTTATTTGTTAGCCTATCACCATGCATAGCATTTCTTAATAATATTCTGGATTTCTTTTGTATTTTATAAGATCAGAGAGTTAAAGCTAGAAGAAAGTCTTAGAGGTTATCTAGTCCAACTCTATCATTTTACAGATAAAAAAACAGGCCTAGAGACGTCAGTAACTTGCCAAGGGTTTGAACCTAGGTCTGTTGACTCCAAACTTAGCATACTTTCCATTGTACCATCCTGCCTTCCACTTGCTTTGACACCTCTTTTTCCTTTTGTATTTTTGTTTTCTTTTTTCATATTAAATTTGCTAATGCTAGGGGCCTTTATTTACTTTTTTCATAGACTCAGAAGCTGGGTTTAAAGAAATTAAAATGTTCTTATATTTTCTATTCTATTTTATCTTTTAATAATGTCTCTCTTCTTTTGGATTATTGCTTTGTTCCTTTTCTCATGAGCTTAATTTCTTTTCTTCTTTGCTTATTAATGTAGACGTCAAATGATATAAATTTGTCCCTAAGAACTGCTCTTCTATGATCCTATAGATTCGTAAATAAGCTACCATCCATTTCTTCTTATCTAGGTGATCTGTTGCCAAGGAGTGGCTTAAAAACTTTGGCATGTGAATGTAATAGAGTATTATTGTTCAATAAATGGTAAACATAAGTTCGGAGAAACATGGGAAAGATTGCATGAACTGATGGGGAGCAAAATAAGCAGAACCAAGAGAAGCATATAAAGAATGATTAAAGCATCACATATGAAAAGACTATGAATAGGAAGCTGAATTCTTTCGTCTGGGGAACAGACAATGGAATAGACTTTCTTCTTCATAATAAAGTGGTAAGGGACTGCCAGGACAGAATATTGCAGATATTATCAGATATAATTACTACACTTTATGTTTTTACTTTATTGTTATTCTTTGTTATAAAAGACAGAGTTCACTGATGGTATTGAGATGCTATATAAAAACAAAAGGCATGAATAAAACATGTTAAAATAATCTTATTTTTCTTATTTAACTTAACTATTGGTTAATAAGTGGTTCAAAAAGTTTTTGTGTAGTTCATTAATTTTTGATAATACTATTAGGATGGAGAGAAATACAAAGGTAGTAATCATAAGAGTGATTGTGAGTGGGATGAACTCTCCCATAAAATGGAAGCAGATAGCTGACTAGATCAAAAGCCAAAATCCTAAAATATAGTGTTTACAAGAAACACACTTGAAACAGAGAGACACATACAGAGTAAATGTAAGGGGCTAGAGCAGAATCTCTTCTGTTTTAGCTGAGGTAAAAAAAAAAAAGCAGGAGTAGCAATCTTGGTCTTAGATAAAGTAAAAAGAAAAATGGACCTAATTAAAAGAGTTAAGGAAGGAAACTACATCTTGCTAAAAGTTATCATGCGATAGCAACATCAATACTAAATATGCATGCACCAAGTAGTATAGGATCCAAATTCTTTTTAAAGGAGATGGTAAGTGAGTTATAGGAAGAAATAGACAGCATAACTCTACTAGCGGGGGACCTCAACTGCCCCCTCTCAGAACTCAATAAATCCAACCAAAAAATTAACAGTAAATAAACTAAGGAAGTAAATGGAATATTAGAAAAGTTAGATATGACTTTGGAGAAAGGTGAATTGGAACTGAAAGGAAATCAAATGTAGAAAGTAAGAAATATTAAATATATCCCTTTTGGGTCATAATGCAATAAAAATCACATTCAACAAAGGACAGTGGAAAGACAGATTAAAACTATGTCAGCTAATAATACTGATGATGATGGTGGTGGTGGTGGTCGTGGTGGTGGCAACTAGAATTTATCTTTGAAATTTTCAGAGTGTGCCACATCTCAGCTTGATTATGTTTGTGACCACGAGTAAGGCACATAACCTTTTTGAGTTGTAGTTCCTCAACTATAAATGAAAAGATTGGATGATGCCTCCACTTACTAATGGGAGGAATAATCTGAGTTGGAAAATGGGAGATTTGACCTTTACCAACTGGGGTAACTATACAAGAGTAAAGGAAGGAAAAGGAACAACTGCAAACTTAGAGCTAAATAATAAATAAATATTAGCATAATGGATGATGATCAGAACCCCCCAAAATATTGAAGGTCTAGAAGAAAAGCTTAAATCTATATCTATCAGATTGTGTAACATGACAGAAAAGGAAAAGGACAAATGCTGGAAGGCATGTGGAAAAATTGAGACACTGATGCACTATTGTTGGAGTTGTTAACTAGTTCAACCATTCTGGAAAACAATCTGTAACTATACCCAAATTCTATAAAATTGTGTATACCCTTTCACCCAGCAATGCCACCCCTAGGTCTCTATGCCAAAGAGATCACATAAAAGGGAAAAGGACATATTTGCACAAAAATATTTATAGCAACTCTTTTTGTGATGTCAAAAAATTAGAAGTTGAGAGGATGTCCTTCAGTTGGGGAATGGCTAAGCAAGTTGTGGTGTATGATTGTGATGGAATACTATTATGCTATAAGAAATGATGAGCAGGATGGTTTCAGAAAAAAACCTAGAAAGACTTGTATGAAGTCATGCAAAGTAAAACGAGAATCAGGAGAACATGAGTACATAGGAACAGCATATTGTAAGTATAATCGACTTTGAAAAACTTGGCTAACTCTCATCAAGACAATGATCCAAGACAATTGTGAAGGACACGTGATGAAAAATGCTACCCACCTCTATCCACCTTTAATCTGCATTCAGAGTTCATCAGACAAAACTGATGAACTCTGAATGCAGATTGAAGCATACATTTTAAATACTGTTTTTATTGTTTATTTGAGTTGTGTTTTCTTTTGTAACTTATGTTTTGCATTACTTCATGTGTATAATCTATATCAAATTCTTGCCTTCTCAAGGAAAGAGAAGAGGTGGGAGGAAAGGAGAGAATTTGCAACTTAACCTTTTAAAAATGTCAAATATTTTACATATAATTGGAAAATATTTAACTAAATAAATAAATAAAAACAATTTTAAAAAGAGAAAAGGTCAAATATCACATACTGAAATTTAATAAAATAAATGTAAAGCTTTCATTTGTACCCAAAGAAATTAACTTTACATGGATGAAGTGGAGTCAACAACTCACGAAAAACAGATATGGAGTATTCAATAACTGAACATTTAATATGAGTCAACCATGGAATATGGCAGCCAAAATCTAATGGAATCTTGGGTTACATACTGAGGCCTTTGGTTCAATCTGCATTTAAGTGTTGTTTCAATAAAGAATTATATTTTAATTAAAGATGAAAAGACCAAAGAATTAATGATTCTAACCTCCTCTGTAGTTAATCTATGGATGAAACCTGTTAATTGGGACTAGAACAAGCTCACTTCTTACCAAAATGATGGAAGCATACCCCTCATTGAAAATTTGCTTCCTTTGAGTCATCACCCTCAGGGCACCAAGAAGGCAAGAGTAGATAGGGGTTAATCTGAGGTAGTGAGAAACTGTAGGAAGGATGGAAGAAGACAGGCAGTTGACTTGGAAGACAAACTTCTGAGGCCTGCCATCTTTGTGCCCAGCACTGATGGCTGTATAAATTTAGATTAGCTAGAATAGGACACAATTATTCTTACCCTTTTCTCCTTAGGCCCAAAGGAACAGACTTCTGCCTGGGGTCTTGAGGAGTAATCACCTAAAGAGATTAACAAAATTGAAATAAATAAACCACATGGAGTATATAAATACATTTAGGAGTTATCTTTCAAACTAATAAAAGAGAAATGGTTAGCTGGTCAGATTTAGAGAATGAAAGCCATGTTGTTCCTATCAAAGTTTAAGATGGATAATTCACAATTATTGGAGAGAAAACAAAGGAACTTATTAGCCTAATCTGCCCAATTATATGTGAACAAAACTAGTAACTTTGATGAAATCAATGAATAATTACAAAAATACAACTACACAGATGAGCAGAAGTATAGATTATTTAAATAATGCAAAAAAAAAAATCAAACAAGCCATACACAAAATTCTAAAGGGCGATAAGGAACTACAGGATCAGATGGATTTATAACTGAATTCTATGAAATATTCATAAAATTATTAATTCTAATAATATATGAAGAGAAGCCCCTATGTGTAGGAAAGACTCCAGATGCAGATGTTCTTCCATCACCCATTGGCAAAGGCACAATAGTCATCTGTAGTCTCTTCTCCCCCCTGCTCTTCTCCAAGGGAAACTTTCCTTCCTGCCAGGGCAGAGAGGAGGTAGAAGTTGGGGTCAGATAGAGGGATAACCACACTAGATGTTTATCTATCTGATTCCTTAAATAATTTTAGTATAGGTAATAGACTGGGTTTAATCTAACTTTTAATTGCTCTGTCTCATTATTATTGGGGAAAAGGGGACCCCAAGCTGTATAGCCAATGCTTGGCCTCTTTCTGCTAAACACCAGCTCCACAATGAACACACATAGCAAATAGCAAAGAAAATGTGTTTATCCAAATTGGTAGCAAAACAGAAATAAAGTATACTTAGGATGCTATATTTCAGACAATATATAGAGAAGGAACTCTACCCTCACATATGTTATTTCATTAGATATTTCTCAATTTTATGTAGAAAAAAATTAACATTGATTTTTCTAACATTTTAAGCTCCAAATTCCCTTCTTCCTTCCCCTCCCCACTCCTCGAGAAGGCAAGCAGTTTCTTATAGATTACACATGTGAAGTTAGGCAAAACATTTCCCTATTAGCCATGTTTCAAAAGAAAACACAGACCCAAACCACCAAAAATAAAGTTTAAAAAAGTATGTTTCATTCTGCAGTCAGAGTCCACCACTTGTTGGAGGTGAATAACATCTTTCATCATAAGTCCTTTAGAATTTTCTTGGATCATTGTATTGATCAGAATAGCTAAGTCGTTCACAACTGATTATCCTTACAATATTTCTGTTACTGTGGACAGTGTTCTGTTGGTTCTGCTCACTTCTCTTTACATGAGTTTACATCAATTTTCCCAGGTTTTCCCTCAAACCAGCAGGCTCTTCATTTCTTATAGCAGAATAATATTCCTTCACAATCATATACTATAATTTACTCAGCCACTCCCCAAATGATAGGCATCCTTTCAATGTCCAATTCTTTGCTACCACAAAAAGATCTGCTATAAATATTTGCACATATGTAGTCCCTTTTCATTTTTCTTTGATGTCTTTGGGGTACAGGCACAGTAATGGTATCGTCAGGTCAAAGGGTGTGCTCATTTTTATAGCTAAGGAAGTGTCATTGGGAGCAAAGTAACAGTTCAACCAAGAGAGAATCTTGTATCTCACCTAAGGGGAAACTCTCCAAAGTCTCTAGAGTAACAAGTAGGAGCTAAGGACATTATGCAGAATGCCAGCTCCACTTACATATTCCCAAGGCCTTTTAATTCAGCAACCTGAAGTGGGGTTGGCCCCTTTTAAAGTCAGAAACACTTGAAAAAATTCAAAGTCTGAAGTCATGAAGAAGACTGGAATTCTTCTGCTTTTGCCACCTCCACTCTGCCACCCATATAGAGCAGGGTATTCATCTTCATCAATAGGGAGAGAGTCCCATACTAATGGGCTTTGGGACAGGGATTACATATAAAGTCTGGTAGTATTCATAGGAAAAGAAAGAAGGGAAGCCCTTCAACCCCTCCCCACTTTATTTTTTTTACTCTGGATATGTCTAGTCTAAGAAAACCAGTACTTTTTTCAGTAAGACACGCTACTCAATAATATTGTTTGTAAATAATTACTGAGTAAATTACTGTAGAAATGAAAGACTCAAGAGTGTTCCTCTGTGCACCACCAAAGTTTGGAATTCTTTTTTTAAATTAATTTGTTTTGAATTATTAACAATCAGTTCCATAAGCTTTTGAGTTTTACATTTTTCTCCCCCTCCCTCCCCAAGATGGTGCACAATCTGATATAGGCTCTACATATACATTCCTATTAAACATATTTTCACATTAGTGATGTTGTAAGTAAGAATTGGAACCAATAGGAGTAACCACCAGAAAGAGGAAACAAAACACAGCAGAAGAAAAAAAAATAGCAAATAGTATGCTTTGATATGCATTCAAACTCCATAGATCTTTCTTCTTTGTGGATAGCATTTTCCATCACGAGGCCTTTGGAGACATCTTAGATACTTCTATTGCTGAGAAGGGTTAAGTCTATCAATATTAGTCATCGCACAACATGGCTGCTACTTTGTACAACATTCTCCTGGTTCTGCTCACTTCACTCAGCATCAGACCATACAAGACTTTCCAGGTTTTTCTGAAGTCAGCCTGTTCATTATGTCTTATAGAACACTAGTATTCCATTACATGCATATACCACAACTTGTTCAGCCATTCCCCAATGGATGGGCATCCTCTCAATTTCCAATTCTTTGCCACCACAAAAAGAACTGCTATAAATATTTTTGTACATGTGGGTCCTTTTCCCATTTGTATGATATCTCTGGGATATAGCCCTAGAAATGCTATTGCTGGGTCAAAGGATATGCACATTTTTATATCCCTTTGGGCATAGCTCCAAATTGCTCTCCACTATGGTTGGATCATTTCACAACTCCACCAACAATGCATTAATGTTCTAATTTCCCCACATCTGCTCCAATATTTGTCATTTTCCTGTTTTGTCACGTTGGACAATCTAATAGGTGTGATGTGCTACCTCAGAGTTGTTTTGCATTTCTCTAATCAATAGAGATTTAGAGCATTTTTTTATATGACTATAGATGGCTTTAATTTCTTCATCTGAGAACTTCCTGTTCATATCCATACCATTTATCAGTTGGGGAATGACTTGTATTCTTATAAATTTGACTTAATTCTTTATATATTTTAGAAATGAGGCACTTATCAGAGAGACTGGTTGTAAAAATTCTTTCCCAATTTTTTACTTTCCTTCTAATTTTGGCTGCATTGGCTTTGTTTGTGCAAAAACTTTGCAATTTAATGTAATCAAAGTTATCCATTTTGCTTTTCGTAATGTTCTCTATCTCCTGTTTGGTCATGAATTCTTCTGTTCTCCATAAATCTGATAGGTAAACTATTCCTTGCTCTCCCAATTTACTTACAGTATCAGCTTTTATATCTAAATCATGAACCCATTTTGACTTTATTTTGGTATATGGTGTGAGATTTTGATCTATGCCTAGTTTCTGCCATGCTCTTTTCCAGTTTTCCCAGCAGTTTTTGTCAAAGAGTGAGTTCTTATCCCATAAGCTGGGGTCTTTTGGCTTATCAAATAATAGATTGCTATAGTCATTGACTACTGTGTCTTGCATAGTTAACCTATTCCACTGATCCACCAATCTATTTCTTAGCCAGAACCAAGCAGTTTTGATGATTGATGCTTTATAACACAATTTAAGATATGGAATAGCTAGGCCATTATTATAAAGCAATAATTAGGAACTATTTTGCCCAACTATATGCCAATAAAAAGTTTGGAATTCTAAGAAGAGTTGTTAACAAAGTTCTTGTCTTTCTTTGTGAGTGGGAATATGAGGAAAAGATTTGTAATAATTAAAAAAAATTAAAATAATTTTGAAATCATATTTTTTTTTACAATATCTTAATTTCTCCCAGTACCCTTCCCTTTCACAGAGAGCCATACCATATAACACAGAAAAATATAGGAAGAAGGAAAAAAATATAAAAAGTGATTAATTTATCAAAAATAGTCTGAAAATGTATACACTATTGCACGATTGTGGACCTCTCATCTCCACAAAGAAATGGAAGGATGTGTTTTCTCACATCTCTTCTTTGGGGCCAATTTTTTTGGGGGAGGAATTCTGTAACATTCACTTAATTTTTTTTTTTATTTTCAGGGGCAGGGATAGAAGGACAGAGAGCAGAGGAAGAAGGGGAGGATGAATGGATAGGGGGCTGTGGAGGATGAAGATGGAAGGAAGGAGAGGTGAAAAAGGCAAGAGTGAAGGATGAGGAAAGGGCTGATGTGGACCTAAGGGGCCAGAGGAAGAGGAGAGTCCCTCTCTTGGCGGGTCCGGGCAGGCTGGGGCGCTGAGGCTCACCTGTGGCCCAGCTCCTTGCTGGGCTTCCTCTTGAATCGGCACGAGCTGTCCCCACTACAGAAGCCAGACCAGAATTACGCCCGCGGACCCCAGCCCTGGAGTCCACCCAATCCTTTGGCATTCATAGCCTATGGAGACCTCGCTGTCCCTGGCCTTTGCCACTGCCCACAGCAGCGCCCGCCTCTTTGGGGAGGATGCACAGGGCAGCCTTCCCTCTAGAAAGGGGCGGAGAGGCTGCGCTAACTTCTGAGTCCAGAGGACCCAAAAGGCTGGAGGGGGCAGGGCTAAGAGAAAAGGAGGTAAAGACAGTCTCGAGAGGAGGGGGCCAGGGGAAGGAGCGGACCTGGTGGAGGGGCCAAGACTAGATCGAAAGAGAGGAGAGTGGACGAGGGTAACTAGAGGGGCGGGGCCCGTGACCTGCTCAGAGTTTTAGGCAGATTCGGGTGTACCATTTGCCCCAAGTCTGCACTATCACTTTCGTTTTCTGGGTTCCTGTGGCTAAGCTGTCTTTGGGCCTGTGCTGGCAGCGGAGCCCCTTCCTCTTACGGAGCGATCCCCAAACAGGAGCCCCCAGGCCTGGACACGATCGCCCTGAAGGGTTTGTGAGGATGCAGCCTTGACCATCCATCCCTTCTGTGAACTCATCCCCTCCAGAAACCCAGAGACTCAGAGACCGGCCTCCTGAAATCACGCCAGGGTAAGTGCTAAGTCATGTTTCCTGCCCGCTCCCCTGCTCCAGCACACACACACTTCCATGTTAGAGCTCATGCTGGTTCGTCTACCCCCTCCCCCAGCTGACACTGCCTCCTCAGAACTCAGAGAAATGTGTCCCACCTTTCAGAGGTCACTTGGGTATGTGCCTCCCCCCAGAGGACATATGGGTCAGTTCTCCCTTGCCTCATTACTCTATTTCCTTTGGGCATATGTAGCAGCCTGTCACTCCCCAGCTCATAGGAATGCTTCTCTGGGGACCCATGGGTCAGCCCCACTCCTGCAAGAGCTACTGAAATGGTTCTTGTAGAAACAGAAGGGTTATAGGGGATGAAGGGAGAATGTTCAAGGTCTAGGAGTTCTGCCTGGACAGATGCACAGAGGTGCGAGATGGCATGAAGTTTGGGGAATGGCTAATAGCACAGAGTGGCTGCGTGGATGTGTAAAGGAGTATGTGTAAAATAAGACTGGAATGGGAGGGTGACACTGGATTGTGGAGGGCTTTGTATGTCAGGCAAAGAAGTTTGTATTTTAGAGAATAGCTGTTGTGAAAAGTTTTTGAACAGAAATGTGATATGGTCAGATCTATGCATTATTAATCAGACAACAAGCATTAATTTAGTGCCTGTTATGTGCCTATGCTAAGTACCAGAGACATAGAGAAAGGAAAAATGGAAAAGGGAAAATATCTACCCTTAAGGAGCTCACTTTCTAATGGGGGGGCAGCATTTAAATACCTAGGGACACACAAAATGTATTGACAGAATGGCTAGAAGGCATCACCAGGTGGCCAGTATCCAAATCAGATTAATTATATGATTTATACCCAGAAGTGGAGAAGCTCTATACAGTCAGTTAAAACAAGACCTAACTGACTGTGGCACAGATCACGAGTTTTTATTGTAAAATTCAGACTTAAATTTCAGAAAGTAGGGAAAACCACCAGACTGTAGAGTTATAGGTATAATCTAAATAATGTCCCCTATGGATATGAAGTGAAAGTGATAAGTAGATTTCAGGAATTAGATCTGTTAAAGTGCCTGAAGAACTCTGAGTTCACAATAGTGTATAGGAGGGATCAACAAAAAAACATTTCCAAGAAAAAGAAGAGCAAGAAAGCAAAATGGCTGCCTAACGAGGCTTTGCAAATAGCTGAGGAAAGAAGGAAAGCAAAAGGGAAAGGAGAAAGGGAAAGATATATGCAATGGAATGCAGAATTCTAGAGAATAGCAGAGATAAATAGGTTTTCTTAAGTGAGCAATGCTAAGAAATAGAAGAAAACAGAAGGGAAAGACAAACAAATCTTCAAGAAAATTAGAGCCACTGAGGAAATGTTTCATGCAAAAATGGGCATGAGAAAAGGCAAAAATGGTTGGGACTTAACAGAAGCAGAAGAGATTAAGAAGAAGTGGCAAGAAAACATAGAAGAATTATAAAAGAAAAATCTTAACATGGCTGATAATCATGATGATGTGGTTACTGATCTAGAGCCAAACATCCTAGAGAATGAAGTCAGGTAGGTTCAGGAAGCATTGCTAACATTTAGGCTAGTGGAGGTGACAGAATTCTAGTTGAGCCATTTAAAACCCTACAAGGTGAAGCTATTAAAGTGCTGCACTTAATATGCTAGCAAATTTGGAAAACTTAACAGAGGCCACTGGATTAGAAAGATCATATTATGCAGCAATCCTAAAGAAGGGCAATGCCAAAGAAGGTTCAAATTACTGGAAAAATTGTACTCATTTTATGTGCAAAGTTATGCCTAAGATTCTGCAATTTGGCCTTCAGCAATATGTGAACTGAGAATTACCAGAAGAGGAAGCTAGTTTTTTTTTTAAGAGCAAGCTAGCTTTCAAAGAGGTGGAGGAACTAGAAATCAAATTGCCAATATCCACTGACTTATGGGGAAAGCAAGGGAGTTTTAGAAAAAAGATCTACTTCTACTTCGTTGACGACACTAAAGCCTCTGATTATGTGGATTACAACAAAATGTGGCAAATCCTTAAAGAGATGGGAAGTACCAATCATCTTACTTGTCTCCTAAGGAACCTGTATGCTAGTCAAGAAGCAACAGTTAAAACTGAACATGGAACAACTGATTGGTTTAAGACTGGAAAAGGAGTACTCCATTATCACTTTATTTATTTAACTTCTATGTAGATTACATCATGTGAAATGCCAGATTAGATGAATCTAAAGCCAGAAGGCTGCTGGGAGAAATATCAACAACCTCAGATATGCAGATGATACCTCTCTGATGGCAGAAAGAGAAGAATTAAGAAGCCTCTTGGTGAGGGTGAAAGAGGAGAGTGTAAAAGTCAGCTTGAAGCTTAACATAAAAAAACCCCCAACAACTAAGATCATGGCAACTGGCTCCATCACTTCCTGGATGATAGAGGGAGAAGGAATGGAAGCAGTGTCAGATTTTATGTTCTTGGGCTCAAAGAGCAGGGCAGACAGTGACTGAAGCCATGAAATTAAAAGATGCTTGCTCCTTGGAAGGAAAGCTATGGAAAATCTGGACAGCATACTAAAAAGCAGAGATAGCAACTTGCTGACAAAACTCCAAAGCTATGGTATTTTTCAGTAGTGATATATGGCTGTGAGAGTCGGAATATAAAGAAAGCTGAGCACTGCAGAATTGATGCTTTGGAACTGTGTTGCTGGAGAAGACTTTTTTTAGAGTGCTTTTTAAAGGTATTTGGAGGGGTTTGTGGGAAAGCTCAGGCGAGTCCCTGCCTTTACCCCACCATCTTGGCTCTGCCTCTGGAGAAGACATCCCTTGGAAAGCAAGGAGACCAAATCAATCATTACATAAAGCAATTAACTCTGACTATTCACTGGAAAATCAAATACTGAAGCTGAAGCTTAAATACTTTGGCCACCTAATGAGAAAACAGAACATGGGCTGCATTTATGTCAGAGACTTGACTCTAGCATTAGATCAGAAAGCCCTTGTCACTCTCTGTTTAATTCCCAATTACTTGCTTATTTCCCTTATTAAGAAATTAGGCAACCCCAGAGCAAAGAGCTCTGGGCAAATTGCTATGGCAGGTAAAGGATGGGGATTGGTTCAGATCTCTAGACCCTATATTCTCATCCAGTAGGGGCAAGCTAGTCACTGTGCTAGATCTATTTACTTTCTCTCAAGTTGGCAATTGTTATAAATGTGCTTAACCATTGCATTGCTGATTGATATGGGTCATTGATCAAATACAGAGGGGAAAATCAACGAGGTAGTGTCCAGGAAAAGGGGCAGGAGAGGGAGGAAAAAATGAAGGGAGAATAGAGGAAGGGAGAGAGAGAGAGAGAGACAGAGACAGAGAGAGAGAAAGAAGGAAAAAGGGAGAGATAGAGTGGGGGAAGAGGGAGATATAGAGACAGTGAGACACAGAGAAAGGCAGATGTAAGAGTACTTTTTTCCTCCCCTTCTCCCACCTTGATGAGCTGGCCGGTGTTTCAAAGCTGAAAATGAGAAGAATTGATATCATCACCATCACCACAACCATTATTTCTAACATATATTTTTATTTATGTATTTTCAGACAATTGTGGTTAGGTGACTTGCCCAGAGTCACACAGCTAGTAAGCGTTATGTGTCTGAGGCTGGATTTGAACTCAGGTCCTCCTGACTTCAGGGCTGGTGTTCTATCCACTGTGCCACCTAGCTACCCCTTTTTCTGACATTTATATAGTGCCTTAAGTTCTGCAGAACACTTTACAAATATCTCATTTGCTCCTCACAACGACCCTGGAAAGGAGATACTATTATTATCCCCATTGTGCAGATGAGGAGACTGAGGCAGACTGAAGCTAAGTGACTTGCCCAAGTTCATGCTTCTAGAAAGCATCTGGAGCCAAATTTGAATTCAAGTCTTCCTGACTCCATGTCCAACTTCTACAAACCTAGCTGTTTCTGATCCATTTTTACAGCTTCCCAATGCATAGAGAAAAGACATGCATATATTACTCTTGATACTGAATGAATGAGTCAGAAGTGATGCCTAGCATTGCTCCACAAATAATTAGAAACTGGACTTTCACCAGTTTCCTCCTCATCGCTTTCTGTGGTTACTTAGAAAGAAAAAAATGCTCCTAATGAGGTGAGACAGTAAGCAGATAAGAATGAGACTCCTGTCCAAGGGTAGGAGTAGTTCCATCCATACAAAAGAAGGGAGGATGAGTAAAAGGCAGTGATAACCCTGCCTGAACCAGCAGAGATTCCCCTTAGACCACACCATTGCTATACTTCACGCTCACTATGAGATCAGTCAGCCTTATTTTCAATCATAAATGTTTCTTTTGCATGACATCTTTTATGTCACTTCTACACGATTCCTCATTTTTAATGTGCTGATCACATCCCTACTCATCCACCATGTGTCTCTCTATTAACCTTTGGGTAATGCTTAACTTCAGTGCTTCAGAGACATATTCCATAACTTGCTGTCAAACAATATCAGGAAAGGAATGTTCCTGTTTTAAAAGAAATTTAGGCCTTTATGTAAGGGGGAAGCTTGGGAGTATAGGAATGTAAGCACGTTGAGGGCACACTGTTTCCTTTTCTTCTTTGTATTGCTAATACCAAGCATAGTACTTGCCATGCCTCAAGCATAGCAGACTTCCTTGAAGAAAGAACAGAACAGCAATTAGCAAGAGAACTGGATTTCTAAACTTGATTCATTACAGACCAGCTGAATTTCTCAACAAGGTTCAGAGACAAAGAACCAAGACTTAGGCAGTTACAGAGCAGAGTGAAAACAAATATAAAATACAAAATCAATGTTTGCTTTTTGTATACTATTTACATAAGACATTTCCAGATAGGAGGAAACATATTTATCAAATCAAGTTCATAAAAGAGTAATTGAGTAAATGAGGAAGCTGTACAGATTGACTTAGGTGACAAAATGCACAATACCTGGGAATTCTGCAACCCAGGAGCAAGATAAAATCTAAGGGTAATCAAGGAGAGAATGATTTCACTCAACATGTTTACTCTTGGCAGTTTCTTAGGGGTGTAAGTATTGCAGGTCAGCCTCCTGGGAGTCGAGGATACATCTTGGGGCCAGTTCTGGCATGAGTAAGTGTGTGGCCTGAGTTTTGGGTGAGTTCATGAGAAGACTCTTTCCTTTATTCCCAATGTCAGATTGGTTCCCTGTATGGAGCAATCAGGAGGGAGAACTAGCAGCACAGCATCCTGTCTTGCTCCTAAAGAGGGATCTGTGACACAGGAGCCTCCCCTTCTACCTGGTTAACAGGGGGAGCCTCAGACTGAACAATTCCCCTCTTGACTTTTTTTCCCTAGATACCTCCACTATTTTGGGTTTTCTACCTATCCAAAATGTTTTTTGGCATGAATGGACCTCTTTGTGCATGGGGCTGGAGGAATGAATGTAAGTTGGAGTAGATGGGACATCCTTAAGGGATCCTCAGGCTCTTCTTTCCATAAAGGAGATCTGGTCAAGGTGAGTGATCACCCCCCCCCCACTCACATGGTCATTTCCATCTCCTTCATAGTTACTACCACCATTCCCTTTGTCAGAAATCATGGTATGGTATCTTTGTTATATTGAAGCTCCTTCATGTCTTTGTCATAGATACTGTGTCCTTATCACAGCCACCACCCATATTCTTATCACAGTCACAGCCCTCCTGCATCCCTGTCATATACACTGGTCCTCCTATGTCACAGCAAGTCACTGGGCCCCTGTGTTCTTGTCACAGACCTTATCTCACTTCCCCATTATAAGCATTTGTCATCCATGTTCATGATCCTACCACGGTCACTAATGCCTCTTCCTCCTTCCTTGTGTTCTCTTCCAGGTGTGATGGAGATTCTCAGTCCTTTGAGAGCCTGTCTCTCCAACTCTTTCATTGCCTTCTTCCTCCTCCTCATGATGCCCAAAATGGCATTAGGTAAGTATTTGCTTCTGTTTACTTGGTTTCTTCAGGCCTAGAACAGGAGCTCTGAAGGCTGACAGTTGAGCCTATAGAGATTCTGTCCTGCCTTATTCTTCATGTTCTCCCAAATCATACACCTGATATTCTCCTAGTCCTTTCTTGGGATTTTCTTAACTTCCCCATTCTCTCCCTGCTAGGACTTTTATCATTATCCTCATAATCTATCCCCTCGTTTTTTACTTCTCTGTCTCTCTGTCTTTCTCTCTCTCTCTCTAATCTTCTAGACTACTTCCTCGCTCCCCACCTAGTTCAAGGTTCCTTTCTTTTGTTCCTTTTATATACTGAAAACTGATCCCCTCTACCCTCTGCTGCTCTCCTCTTTCTGCCTGATTGAACAGGACAGTTCTCAGTGATTGGACCTGCAGGACCTATCCAGGCCTCACTTGGGGGAGAGGCAGAGTTACCATGTTACCTGTCCCCACCTCAGAGTGCTCAGCACATGGAGGTGGTCTGGTTGCAATCCACTCGGATGGTACATCTCTATCGAGATGAAAAGGATCAGTTTGGAGACCAGGACCCTGATTACCAAGGGAGGACGGAGCTGGTGAGAGATGCTATCACAAGTGGGAATGTCACCCTGAAGATACTGGAGGTGAAATTTTTGGATGCAGGAAAGTATATGTGTCTCATTACAGATGGTTATCACCACGAGCAAGCTGAAATGGAGCTGAAGGTCTCAGGTGAAGTGCTAGGCCCAAGACTGGGCATGTTTGTGTGGATATATGGGTGGGTGGGTGGGGACTTCCTTACCAGCTCTGTGATTCTAGGAATCACATGATATCCTAGTTGAAAAGGACTTCCCAGGCCATGTGCTCCAATTCAGAGAGGTCTCTGAATAAGAAATGTCTCTCTACATGCACAGCAGGTACCTATTTTCATTTGGCCTGTATTCTTGGCCCCTCACCTGGTACCTTGTAAATGGAAGATAATTAATGAATGCTTGTTGAATTTAATAGAGCTTCCAGCCTGTACTTAAAGACTTCTAATTAGGAGTCATACTACTTTCCTGGGAGGGGCAGCCTTTTCTACTTCCGGATAAATTTCATTATTAAGAAGTTTTTGCTGACATCAAACTTAAATCATCCTCTCTGCAGTTTTCACCCATTGCTGCTAGTTCTGTCCCAGAGGGACAATCAGAACAGCCTAATCCATTTTCCAAAGCCTAGTTCTTCAAACATGTAAACAATGATCATGCCCTGGCTAAGTCTTGTCTTCCCCAGGCTATGACAATCACCAACTGAAAGAATGAGGATGCTAAACTTTACCAGTTTTGTTTTGGGCACAATCTCAAAGCTGTATGACTCCTAGCAAATCTTTGCAAGGGCTCTAGCCCCTAGACACCCAGATAGTATTTTTTTGAAGTTCACAAGATTGTACCCATCTCCAACTGAGAAGCAATAGCACAGCCAGATCTTCTCAGTGTCAAGCTAGCTCTGAGTGAAAAACGACCCCAAATACCTGTGCCACCAATAGCCCCACAGTAGCTCTTTCTTCTTCTGGAACACTAGTCACAAAAGAGCAAATTTAGACTTAATGTATGGAAAAACTTCCTAGCAATTAGAGCAATACCAAAATGAAAAGGGCCCTATGGGAGGTAAAGGCTGGATGGTCACTTGTAGGGAGTCTTTAGAGGAGATTCTGATCCAAGTGTGTATTGAACAAGACTGGCCTCTGAGCTCCTTCTTATCTCTGAGATCCTCTGAGTATAAACCAATCCCCAAAGTATACAAAATTGGCCCCCTATCCCACTTGCACTCCGTGTGTTCTAATCAACACAGCCTAATGCTGTATCTCACAAATGGGGCTAACTGCAGGTGATATGACCTGCAGGGGAAGCAGAAATTGGTTATGGATATGGTAATGCTTTTGGTAGAAGGGAGAGATTGTCTGCTGTAGGGTGCAAAGGTTGGAGCAGGGAGCAGCCACAAGTGGAAGGGCTGAGAATTTGGCCAGAGCTATGGCTTTGCCCTCTGCTCAGTGGGGGCATGGGAGTAGGAGATGGGGAGAAAAGGTGCTGTAAGGGTTCTCATGAGGGCCTTGGTTCTGATATTTATGTGTAATTGTGTTTTAGGTGATGAACCTGAGACACCGGCTGTGCCGATAGCACCATTTATACTCCTTATTGCCAGTTTGGTCCTGCCTTCTTTAACGTATTTGTATTTGCTTCTGTTTTCCCAAGGTAATTATCAGAGGTACTGGGGAAAGGACTTCCTATCTGATTAATCAGGCATGACTTGTCGGGGAGGGGACAAGACTGTAACCCTGGGTCTTAGGAGCATGACTTTTGCCCAGTCCTTGGTCACCCGCTCTGCGGTACTTTTGGCTCCCAGTCCATGTCCTTCAAGGATGAGTGCATCCCCAAATGCTGCCCCTTAGAACCTTGCTCCTCCTGTTGCAGGCTGAGAGGTTGAGAGGTTGTGACCCCTCAAAGACCAGAGTACAGGATGGGTCGTCTGGAATAAGAATTCACAGACTCAAGCATTCTTTAATCCAAGGTGGCAAAGATTTATTGTTATGCTTTTCAGCAGGCAAGGATTCTTAAAGGATCCTGCAAGAGACTGAGAATGCAGCTAGGGTTTATATGGAAAAGAGCATGGGAAAGAAACGCCAGGAACACTGATGAGGTAATCCAAAGGTGCAGGTGTCTTTGGGAGCTATGAATGGGAAAATACAGGGAATATACTGGACAGGAAGGGGAATGGATCTTTGAAGTCTGGCAAGAGGAAGAGTTCTTGGGCCAGTCAAGGACACCCCTCTCCCTCTGTCTTCATGAGAGAATGCTCTGCAACAAAGGAAAGCTTTCTCACAACTAAAGAATTGGGGGGCTTCCAGATACATGATCTGAGGGCTGGGGCCCAAGCAGCCCAGATAAGGGTCGTGTTGAGGCCCATGTATGAACAACTGCTAGGCACAGTGTCCTTGGGCTGGGGAGTGGTTGTCAGAGATAGTGTTTCTGAGACTAGGGAGAAATTGGGGTACAAGTACAAGCACCCCGTCACTCCCAACTACCAGTGTAGTCACATAACCACATGAAGTTCCTTCCTACACAATCCCCTACTCTCTATTCCCAATTCATGGCTTTCCTTCACTATTCATTCAATTTATATTTGCCATATGAAAATCATGTGTCACTCTGTGATTATTGTTCACTCATTATGGTTATGTCCAATCCTTTGTGACCCCATTAGGAGTTTTCTTGGCAAAGATACTGCAGTGTTTTCCATTTCCTTCTCCAGCTCATTTTTACAAGTGAGGAACCTGAGGCAAAGTGGTTTAAGTGACTTGCCCAGGGTCAGACAGTTACCAGGTATCTGAGGCCAGATTTGAACTCAGCTCTTCCTGACTTTAGCCTTAGCACATTATACACTGCACCATCTAGCTGCCCTCTTCTAGGCCATATTGAAATACAACTATTTCCTCCCTCTCCTTCAGTCCCAATCCTTGAATTGCATAAGGTTGGAGAAGTAGGAGTCTGAATAAGGATCATCTTTGACTCCTTAAAGTAACTTTAAAAAAAACTTTAAATCAAGGAGCATTTTTAACAAACTCCTTTGTACTTTGTTTTTTGGTCTGGGTTGAAGAAATAAGTTATGTTTAGGTAAGACTGTTGCCTTCATGAAGCTAAAATCAAAGTGGGAGTGAGTCATGGATACAAATGTGAGATAAGAACAAAGAGAGGTCCAGGCAATGTATTATGAGAAATCTGAGGAGGGAGAAGTCACTTTTACCTGGTTGTGGGAAGGGGTCAAGAAAGACTTCAAGAAGGCCCTGAGATAGGTCTTGAAGGAAGAATGGACTTAGACAGAGATAAGGGTAGCATAGAGACTGTTCTCACCTCAAGAGTGAAGCAAAGAAAGGGGAAAGGCAGGATGAGGAGGAAGGGCAAAGAGTAGTACAGTTTGGCAGGAACATAGTATACATGAATGAATCAATCAACAAACAAGAAGCATTTATTAAGAATCCATTGTATGTCAGGCCCTGTTATAGGTACTAGGGATAAAAACAGAAAAGGGAAGCAGTCCTTGCCCTCAATGACCTTAAATTCCTGCAGAAGAGACAATACATACCTCATAAACCTAAACACAAGAAATGGAAGATAATTCTGGAGAGGTGGTATTAGCATTTGGTGCTGAGACTTGAAGGAAACTAGAGATTCTAAAAGGTAGAACCTAGAAGAGAGTCCATTGCAGCCAAAGATGACAACCAATGTAAACGTATGGAGATGGAAGGGAGAGTGGGAAGAAGCACAGGAAGGCAAATATGACTAGACTTTAGAGTGTTTGAATGGGAGTCAAATATAATAAGGCTCTAAAGGTGGGGCCAGGTTGTAAAGGGTTTTAGTCACCAAACAAAGGAGTTTATATTTGACCATAGAGGAAATTGTTGTGTTGTTCCATCATGTGTATCTCTTTGTGACTCCATTTTGGGTATTTCTGGGAAAAGATACTGGAGTGGTTTGCCATTTCCTTCTCCAGCTCATTTTACAGATGAGGAAACTGAGGCAAACAGGGTTAAATGACTTGACCAGTGTCACACAGGTGGTAAGTGTCTGAAACTGGATTTGAACTAAGGAAGATAAATCTTCATAACTCCAGGCCCAGCCCTTCATCTACTATGCCACCTAGGGAGCCACTATTTATATTTGGAAGGTAGATATGGTTAGACCTGTGCTTTAGCAAAATCCCTTTGGTGACTGAGTGGAGGATGAATTGGAGAGAGAAGACCTGTGAAGTAAAGAGACCAATTGGGAGGCTATTGTAATAATTCAAGTAAAAGGTGACAAAGGTGTGCATTAAGGGGTGGCTACATGAGCAGAGAAGGAGATTAATGTAAGAGATGTTTGGTGATAGACTTGACAACATCTGGCAATTTATATGCATATATATAATTTATATATATGTATATATATACATACACATATACATATATACATATATATACATATGCATACATATATGTATATGTATATGTGTGTATATATATATATATATATATATATATATATATATATATATATACACACACATATATATCGAGACAGAGACAGAGAGACAGAGAGAGAAATGGGCTGGGGATTACCCTGTAATCTCCAACTCATGTGATGGTGGTGTTATTGACAGGCATAGGGAACTGCGGAAGAGGTGTTGATTTGGGAAGAATGATAAGAGTGCTACTTTTAAGATACTGATTTTGAGATGTTTACAAGAAATCCAATTTGAAATGTCTAAAAGATTGTTTGGTGACACAGTCTTAGTGTCTTAGAGAGAGACAAAGTACAGAGAGATACATAAAGATGTCAGTCATCTGTATAGAAAAAAATAAAGTCATGAGAGCTGATGAAGTCACAAAGATAAAGAAAGTAGAGAGAGATCTGAGAAGAGGGTTCAGAAGAGTCCCCTAGGATACACTGACAGTTAGAAGGTTGGTTACAGATCAAGATATAACAAAGGAGACTGAAGACTGGTCAGTCAGAACCAAGATGGAGCAGTGTCATGAAAATCCAGAGAGGAGAGGGAGGCCAATAGTGTCAAATGCTGCAGAGAAGTTAAAAAAAGATTAAGAACAAAAAAACAGGTTTACGGTTGAGAAAAAAATGGACTTGTCTACTAAGTGATTGTTAATAATTTTGGAAGGAGAAATTTCATTGCAGTGATGAGGTTAAAAACTAGATTTTAGGAGATTTAAAAATGAAATATTTAAGTAGTCTTGAAGGCAAGGAGATACATCTTTTTTTCTGAGAGTTCATGAAATTGGGGAGATATATAGGATAATAGCTTGATGGGAAGGTAGGATGAAATGAACTTTTTTTTAAATTTAGGATTTTATTTTTTCCCAGTTACATGTTGAAAATTTTTAACACTCATTTTTAAAACTTTGAGTTCCAAATTCTCTCCCTTCCTCCCTCTTCTCCTCCCCCCTCCATTAAGAAGGCAAGCAGTTCAATATAGGTTATACACATGTAGTCATATAAAACATTTCCATAATAGTCATGTTGTCAAAGAAAACATAGACCAAAAACCCTCAGGAAAAATAAAGAAAGTAAAAAATGTATGCTTAATTTGTATTCAGATGCCATCAGTTCTTTTTCTGGGAGTGGATAGCACTTTTCATCATCAGTCCTTTTGAATTGTCTTGGATCATAGTATTACTGAAAATAGCTAAATCATTCTCAGCTGATCATCTTACAATATTGCTATTACTTTGTACACAGAACATTTCACTTTGCATCAGCTTATATAAGTCTCTCCAGGTTTTCTGACAGCATCCTGTTCATCATTTCTTATAGCACAATAGTATTCTATCTCAATGACATACCACAGTTTCTTCACCTATTCCTTAATTGATGAGTATCCCCTCAATTTCCAGTTCTTTGCCCCCAGTAAAGAGTTACTGAATATTTTTGTACATACAGGTCCTTTTCCTTTTTGTTTTTGTTATCTCTTTTGGGATATAGACCCAGTAGTGGTATTGCTAGTTCAAAGGGTATGCCTAGTTTTATAGCCCCTTTGGACATAGTTCCAAATTGCTCTACAGAATGGTCGAATCAGTTCACAACTCCACTAACAATACATTAATGTCTCATTTTTCCCACATCTCCTCCACCATCCATCATTTTCCTTTTGCGTCCTATTAGCCAATCTAATAGGTATGAAGTAGTACCTCAGAATTGTTTTGATTTGCATTTCTCCAATCAATAATGAGTTCGAATATTTTTTCATGTGGCTATAGATAGCTTTGATTACTTCATCTGAAAACATATCTTTTGATCATTTATCAGTTGGGGAATGACTCTTATTTTTATAAATTTGACTTAGTTCTTTATATGTTTGAGATACGAGGTCTTTATCAGAGAAACATGCTTCAAAATTTTTTCAGTTACTATTGCTAACTATATTTCCCTCCATCCTATCCCCCCTTTATTATTTTCTCTCTCTCCTTTCACCCTGTCCCTCCTCAAGAGAGTTTTGCTTCTGACTATCCCCTTTTCTAATCTTCCTTCCTTCTATCACTCCCCTCCTCTTATCCCCTTCCCATATTTTCCTGTAAGGTAAGGGATTTCCATACCCAATTGAGTGTGTATGTTATTCTTTCTCTGTGCCAGTTCTGATAAGAATAAATTTCACTTATTTCCCCTCATATCCCCCCAATTCCACTCCACTGTAATAGTTTTTCTTGCTT